GTTTTTGCTGTCATTCCCGGAACAAGAGAACGATTAGAAACAATAGTCCATCAATTGATCAAGGATAAAATTTTGTATTGTCAGATACAAGTTCGATGAATCCGCCTCCCATGGACACCTCCAAATCACAAGATTCAACTGAGGCATTCAGAGAGCATGAGGATTCATGTGATTCCAGTTGATGTACGTGTTTCAGCAGGTTTCACCTGGATTTGCAGCAGAGACATCGTCTTCAGATGGTGGACATAGATAGAAGGCGCAAACGACATGGAAAACCCGTCGATATCATTTTGATGCTGTTCTGGCGGGCTGTCACTTGATTGACGAGGATGAGTGACCAGTAAATTGACAACGGCCAAGGCCCAATATGGCAAGCCGGAGCCTTTTGGTTATCATCCCCAAATCAAGTTGTCTGCTGCCAGCGCATTTCATTCCCTCCTCTTTCAAATTGTTGTCCAATGGCTGCACGCTCGGCATTCTTTCGGTTTGCCCCTACCTTGCTCCATGCACGCGTGACACCTTCATTAGCTGCTCGTAGAGCACCTTGTGTTCGCGGCTATGCTTCGTCAAGTGAAAATTCGGTGAGCCCATCCTGGTCTGAATGGGGGGGAAACAGCCTTCTTAACTGCGAGCAATAGATGACAGTTCGCGATGCACTCAATGTTGCTATGGATGAGGAGATGATGCGAGACGAGACTGTTTTCATCATGGGTGAAGAGGTAGCTCGGTACAACGGGGCTTACAAAGTCAGCAGATAATACTAAATGTCATGTTCACCATAACTTATAAGCTGTTAGGTCACAAAAGGCCTATTGGACAAGTTCGGGGAGAAACGAGTCGTAGATACCCCCATTACAGAAATGGGTTTCAGTGGTCTCGCAGTCGGTGCCGCACTTGCTGGTCTACGGCCAATGTACGTTTTGGCGTCTATCACAGCAATTTTATCATCGTCGATAAACGATATTTGCTCTCAGATGCGAATTCATGACGTTCAACTTCGCTATGCAAGCTATTGACCAGATTGTCAACTCAGGTGGCAAGACATATTACATGTCTGGTGGAAATGTGCCTTGTCCGGTAGTTTTCCGCGGTCCCAATGGTGCTGCTGCTGGTGTAGCAGCACAACATTCACAAGATTACGCCGCTTGGTATGGTTCAGTCCCAGGGCTCAAGGTCGTCAGTCCTTGGAGTGCAGAAGACTGCAAAGGATTGCTGAAGGTACTTTCAGTTAACTCTTTCATCTGATCGGTGATCGGTCTTAATTCTGTTTGGCAGTCTGCTATTCGTGATCCTAACCCTGTCGTGTTCCTTGAAAACGAAATGCTCTATGGTGTTTCCTTCCCGATGTCCTCAGAGGCCATGTCAGATAACTTCCTCCTACCTATCGGAAAATGCAAAATTGAACGCGAAGGCACCGACGTTACAATCGTTGCCCACAGCAAGATGGTCACGCATAGTCTTGAGGCTGCAGAGCAATTGGCAAAGGATGGAATCAAGGCTGAGGTTATCAACCTACGCAGTATTCGTCCTTTGGACATTGATACCATCAAAACCTCAGTCAAGAAGACTAACAGGTACGTTTATTACACTCGGGCATAATGATAATGTCTGACGTTGATATCAGGCTTCTCATCGTGGAAGGCGGTTTCCCTGCTTTTGGTGTTGGGAGCGAAATCTGCGCTCAGATTGTCGAGAGTGAAGCCTTTGACTACCTCGACGCACCTGTTGAACGAGTTACTGGCGCTGATGTGCCAACTCCTGTCAGTGTCTTTCCCCTCTACCATTATCTCTGTTGGCTCATATTTGTGATCAGTACGCTGCAAACCTCGAGGCCTTGGCCTTCCCCGACACCCCACTCATTGTCAAGGTCGCCAAACGCGCCCTTTACCGGACGAACTAGTCTAGTCAATTTGTTTTACACTTGGGCATGCGTGATTGGCTAGTTTTCGCCCTAGACCTTTTTTGAGTACATACCTAAAGCCATGCCCACGCTTGTGGTCATTCTAGATTCAAATAGTAATTCTGCGAGACTACAACATCCCGCCCCATCGTTATGTCAATTTCCCGCACCGATACAACGCCATGACAAGTGTGTTTACTCCATGCGTGCTCATACAGTCAATTGGAACTATGAAACCATATACGATATATCTAGTCGTTTCCGGAAGGTTACGCTTATGACGGGCCACATTTTTTGGAAGACTAATTCGCGTGTAAGCGTATTCGCACAGCGTTTGCGTGGGCTTGAAGTCCTTCACAGTCAGCGAGCGTCGCGACAGTGGGTCCAAGTTCCTTGAGCCCATCTAAAGTGATTTCCTGCGATGTGATATGCTTTTGGAATGACAAAGTATTCACCCCGCTGAACTGACGGGCATATCCATTCGTTGGAAGTGTGTGGTTTGTGCCGGAGGCATAATCCCCGCAACTAGAGACTAATTAGCAAGCAGATGGAGGATCAATGTCGGGGACAAACCTCTCTGGAGAATAAGGACCCACAAACACGCTACCAGCGTTGTCAATGGAAGGCACCTTGTCAGGCGCATTTTCCACGTGAAGAATGAGATGTTCTGGGGCATAATCATTGGAGAACGCGATTGCCTCCTCTATTGAAGACGCCTTGACAATGATACTCTTCGCGACGGACTGTCGAACAATGTCCACTCGCGACAGAGCGCGAGCCTGCTTATCGACCTCGCCTTCGATCGTCGATAGTTCAGTAGGAGAGAGGTTGACGGCGATGAGAACGACTTGAGAGTCGATGCCGTGTTCCGCCTGCGAGAGGAGGTCAGCTGCCACAAAAGCTGGACGACAAGTGTGGTCGGCAATAACCTGGAGATTTCGAGCTTCAGATGTAGCTAAAAATGAATTCGGCCATAGAACTCACCAGAACTTCTGACGGTCCAGCAGGCATATCAATGGACACTAAGGCATCTGTGTCATTCTGCACCATCATCTTTGCTGCTGTCACCCACTGGTTCCCAGGCCCAAAGATCTTGTCCACTTTGGGAACTGTCTGTGTCCCATAAGCCATCGCGGATACAGCTTGAGCACCACCAGCCTTGAGCAGGGCGGATGCTCCAACCAGGTGAGCAACATACATCACCTCCGGCGAAATGCTTCCGTCGGGTCGTGGTGGTGTGGCGAGCACAATCTCTTTGCAACCTGCCACTTGAGCTGGAATACCGAGCATCAAAGCGGTAGAAGGAAGTATCGCGGTACCTCCGGGTACATACAGCCCCACACGAGCAATGGGTCGAGCAAATCGGGAGCAAACGACTCCAGGCATTGTCTCGACGACAAGTGCCGATTTCTCTGCCTGTGCCTGATGGAACTTCCGGATGTTGGCGTAAGCGATATCGATCGCTTCGCGGACAGGTGTCTCAAGCTGCATTGATTCGGGGGAAAATGGTGGAAGAACGATGGTGGATGTGAGTTTAGCTTTGTCAAATTTGGCGGTCAGTTCGAGAAGAGCGGCATCGCCTCGTATGCGAACATCGTCTACAATGGGCTTGACTTTGGATATCATTTCGTCCGATCTGAGAACAGGTCGACGAAGAAGTCGGCTTCGCTGATCCGATGTAATGATTGCAAGGTCTGACGTAGTCATGTGGATGGGGGAGTTAGGGTCTGTTTGTTGGGATGCTGCTACTATAGTAGCGGGGTTCACTGGCGGAGGTTTGGAAGACCACTGCTGTTTGGCGTTTCCTGATCTCCGGGTGACCTTTTTCGCCTTTTTCTCTAATGAACGCTCAATGTCCACAATGCTAACCCCAGCGGCGACACACCGCGTCATCACAAAATACAAAAGATCAGCAACCTCAAAGGCTATGTCCTCTTGTGTTTCTGCCCGACAGAGTTCATCAGCCTCCTCCATAATTTTAGATCGAAGAAGCTCTTGGTCGTCGAACAACCTTCGAGTGTAGGAACCCTCCGGTGCCGATACCGAACGGGACTGCAGCGTGCTCTCCAAGGCTGCTAGCCCAGACAACTCCCCAAAACATGTTGGCTGGTTAAGGTGGCAGAATCCAGAGCCATGCTGGATGACATTGAACTGCAAGGCATCAGAATCGCAGTCTATACGTATACTGATGACGTCTTGAGTTGCTCCTGAAGTTTCGCCTTTGCGCCAAAGACCGTGCTTACGGGATTGGTATACACCTCTTCCCGTGATAATACTTTCACGGACTGATTCCGCCGAGGAATATACAAGTCCCAATACACGACCTCCTTGCGCACTGGAGGACACTACAGTGGGAAACAGTCCATCTGGACGGTCAGACTGTACTGGCGCAAGGAAAGCGTCTGCGATGTTCATCTGGGTCACGGAAGAAGCTGAAAGAGTGATATGGGAGGTGGGGAGGACGAGTGTAGCTCCAACTCCCACAAGCTCTCTGATTGTAGAACGAGAAGGAGGTGTAGTAGCGCTTGAAAGGACATGGACGGATGAATCGATAAAAAACCGAGAAACAGAGGCAATAAGGTCAAGATCGATGACAGGCGATTTGAGCAGCACACCGGAGACACCGTTGCGAACAGTATCAGACACTGCGCTGACATTTCCAGCGTCCAAAAGAAGGAGCAATCGACTGGCGGGGATTGTTCCAATGAGATCTTTTGCCCATGCTAACGGAACAATGACTTTTTCGGCGCCCATGTCGAGCCAAGAAACCACATCCTGTGGGCTAACGGTGGATTCGTGGTCTGCGATGATATAATATGATCCAGTCGATGGCTGATCAAGGCATCGTGGCGAGGGTATGATGATCGGTCCAATCCGCGCGAGGGCTTGTAGTAACCTTTTATCTGCTTGATCAAGGAGAAAGACGGTCATGGTGGTCTGGAAAGACGGGAAATCACAACTGATTTCAACTTTGACTCAACTCATTAACCAATCAGGGACAAAACGCCGCCGAATTAGGTAACCTTTTACAGTGTTTCAAACTCCGCCTGTATCAGAAGTGCTCGATCACATAGGTACGTGAGATACATCATTTTCGAAATGGCCCAGTAGTTTAGCGGTTATGACGTAGGATTCTGATTCCTGAGATCCAGGTTCGATTCCTTGTTTTAATTTCTCCACCGTTTCACTGGTGACCACATTTTCGATGGACTACACACCTCGGCACCCCCAACCATTTACTCTGGAGCAAGCCATTCTACTTGATGTTGCGGTACTCTCTGAAGGTGAGGCTGTTTCTAGTAGCATTCATTTGCCATTTGCTCAAACACCGCCAGAGATAACCCGTCTCCAGAACTCTCTGCAGCACCTGAAGGGAACCCAAGAGGAGCTTCGGCAACATGTTGCGACGTCTTCGTCTCCTGATCCTGATTTTATCGAAGCTATCTTAGAAAATGAAGAAGTGATGTTCGTTGGCTAATCTCAATCATTCGACCTACTATGCAAGCTCATAATCACCTTCCATGTAGAGGATCGCAAGAAGAGCGTGTGGTGATACTTAGGTTGGCTTTGGCTCACAAAGGAGCTTCGACGAACAGCGGTCACTATGACTTAACGCCTTCACGAAGTTCTGCTACCAATGAGCAGTCTCAGGCTGATATCGGAGACGAAGGTGTTCATCTGTAGAAGTCGGATGCGCCCTCGACATCTGTGCACTTGAAGGGTCTGGTTTCGTTGCTCTCCGCTCGTAAATTGCGCTTGATGCAAATCGTTATTTTAATTCATTTCGCATAGTCCTTCCTCTCGTACGGCGCCTGGTTGGATTCTTGACGACATCTGCGGTCGAATCGTAGGGTTGCTTAGACCGGCCATTGGGAGTTCGACTGTTACTATAATTGAAATCAAAGCTCTCGACGGCAAGGCTCTATGCTTTGAACTTTCATGGAGATGAGCAATAATATGGGTTTGTTTAGTGACACTACTATGGCTAATATCGTGTGGTTCGCGAGTACAAGGGGTTTCAAAAAATACAAGTTCATTTATGACTGCAAAGACACTGAGAGCAATACGACCACCTGAAGATACGTGCAAAAACAAAAAAGACGGCGAATGACGGTATAAACATATGCAGAGGTATCAAATCAAGCCACGAATCAAGAGAAGTACATGACAGTTGTCATGTTTGGATGCAACGGCCTGAAACCGCGCTTGAACGCTTCCAGGTTGGTTGTTGCTTGATTGTCGTCAAGCTGAGTCGCGGAATCTGAGAAGTCGACACCGCCTTGCGGGTCATAGTGATTTTTGGCCCGAGTACAAACGATGTCTGCATCTGAAGAAAAAACTTGTTAGGTGGCCACTTTGTGAGTCCGCATAATTACTAACAATAGACCGGGGCCGGGATCTACCATGGTCATATGAGGATTTTAACGGGAAAGAATACGAAAAAACATTGACTTACCGACACGCTCCTTGTTGAGCGAGCATAGACATGGCACAGCGCGAAAGAAAGAGACTGGAGGCCATCAGGACTAAAGGGTTATATATCATCAGTCAGGTTTCAATTTCAAAAGAGGAACCTGAAATTCACGTGAAGTTATTTTCGTCGCAAAGCACATTATAATGCGCCGGGCGACTCGTTCCAAGGAGCCCCCCGTGGCTCTGCAGATAGAAGTCAAATTCGGTCGGATGGGCGACCTCACGATCAACAACAGTGCCCGCCGGACAATTACCACTCCTGTCCGCCTCTCGCTGGTTTTGAGGGAAGAACCGAACATGATGTCTTTTGCCGACAATGACGACGGTGATGGTCGGTTTGATCTTTAATTCCGCGCAAGCCGCTTTCAACGCCGGAAGTTCTGCGAGGACGTCAGTCAACCCAGTCTGAAAAAAATGGCGTACGGACCTTTGTCCAAAACCTGCTGGAACTGTCCCTCACTAGGTGTATCATTAGGGGACGCATAAGTAAATGTCAAGAGTTATTCACCTTACGCCATCCCTGTAAAATATAATGCGAGTTGGAGCTCCCGTGCCCGGCTTCCTCTCCATTTTCGTTCGGTACTTCATGTACATCTCCAGCACGTACTGTAACAATGTATCAGCACGTACTACCACTTTTGGTCTAAGTTGAAGTACGTACTTTGCTCATGCTCTGGAGGTCATCAATCATCTCTTGACGAGAGGTCTGTACCCTACTAGTTGCAATGTACTTGGCCGTGTCCGAGTCAACGTTGGCGACGAGAGCTGTGAATGAAGGACGTCCGTCTGAGCCAGGGGCGGGATGGATGACATCAGCACCTATTAAATATAATCAGGAAGGAAGAAGACAGGAAGCCAAAGTTATGCCCACCCATAACAATTGTTGGGTTGCGAGGATCTGTCAGAACGGTCACAGACTGCGGATCAGGGATCGTGTTGATGCCTCCCAGTTTGACGTTGATCCTGTAGCCTGGTGAGAAAAGAAATTACAAGATGAGGTCACGCCAAACTCACTTGAGACAGACATTGGCATAGTATTGAGGTTTCGCGCGGAAGCACTTTGCACTCTTCATGCATTGTGTCGCCACACCCATCTATAATACAATTCATCAGAAGAATGATTATGACGGATTCATTGAGTGCCAACCGTGACATCGCCGAAACTAGGAGAAGAAAAGAAGATGTTCAGAACAATATCACAAAGATACATACACGAACGTACTGTTTGACTGCGGTATAAATGTCGTTTCCACCGTCAGGCAGAATGACAACGATCAAGTTCGGTGGTGCTCCTTTTTTCTGTTTGCATTCCACGCCGGCTGCCATCAGTTGCTGGAGAAAATTCAGCCTGAGTACTTCATAAAGATTAAAGAATCCTCACCTCTGATATACGGCCCTGGCCATTCTGCCAAGATATCAAAGGGTTCGGGTCCTTTATTACAATACCTGTAGTGATATGGTAAGAGACAGCCCGTTAGCGCTACGGCGTCAAAATATCACGTACCGACGTCTCTGCAACTAGCCATGAGGCCGGCGGTCATTTCGTCCGCGGATTGCTGGTTGAATCGTTGTTGCCTCTCATACACGACAACGACCCATCGATCAATTGAAGCTGGCTTGTAGAACCGTTTGTCCACCCTAATAATGTATGAATTTAGATTGGTGAGATAAGTAGAGTCTCGACATACATATTCCAAGCTCCATTCATCGGAGTCTAGGGAATAAGTCAGGAGGTGAAGAAGGAAAAGGGAAAGGTGAACAAACAATCGTGGGCTGTTTGCTGGTCGATCCATATTTGAGGACCGGCGCCTTCAATACCCTGGCTTGGATCTTCAAAGGCCCGGATTCGTCGACGAACATTCCAAACTGCCTGACATACTCGGATTGTCCATATGCAAGGACCTGTGGTTAGAATGGATTCAATATATATTGCAGAGAATAAGAAGACTGGAACGGACCGCAAGTCCATTCCTGATGCTTGCAAGACGGTCCTCGGGCCTCTTGGTGGCGAATTCGAGGACGTCCTTCGTCTTCTCGGGGGGAACTTGCTTGCGCATGATCTGACCAGAAGGAACCGTACACAACTCCATAGGGATCAGAGCGCCAGAGCCAACCTGATAGGCTATCCTCAGCATCAACGCCAATATAAGGAGCGCAAAAATATCATACCTCGACACAAAGCACATCGGGAAACTTTAAAGGACGGTTATTCTGAGCACTTCTAAAGTATTCAGCCACCGTGAGAGTACCGCCTTCGCGCATCGTGAATGTGAGGTCACTAGCGCCGGCCGTGGAAAGCTTTTTGATGACACGAGGGGTCCGATTGCTGGGGCCTGTCTCACCCGCATGCTTCGTCAAAACACGGACGCCGGATATGAACCGTTGTAGACGGATCCTCTCCCGATCGGGAAGACCCTTCTTGGGAGCTAGAATATTTGGGTTGTTCATGCCCCGACCCAAGAAATCGAGGCAAAGACCGATGAGAGGGCCAGGTTTGTACATCGTACCGGTTGATATGTCAACATTGACCAGCATTTTTCCAATACCAGGGCGAACGGACTGGAAGTAACCGCGCCACAATTCGAGACCGGAACCGATATCTTTGGTCTCCCTATCGGTGAAAAAAGAACGAACATTGAACGGGTATTTCAAGGTCGGCTCCATCCGTACGACAACGTTCAGGGCCTGAAAAGGGGGCAACGTGAAAAATCATTAGAAGAGAGGCGACGCGGAGAAACGCACAGTAATTGCAGTCAAAACAGTGTTGTCATGAGACTGTTGACCTTGGATGAACCGCTCGAGAACCCTGGATGATTCGGGTCAGAAGGTTTATGTTCAAAATAGAGTAAGCGACTTACACAGGATTGATCTCGGCGACCTTGGTGAGCCGGACCTTGTAGCCTTTCGGACCCTTGCTGCTCGGGTCTCTGGCTGCAACTTGAGCGGGGTCGGCGAGATTTACATCAAACTATATGATATTAACATGAGATATCTAAAAGACAAAAAATCTAGAGAAGATCGGCACCTCCTGGCTCGTGGCGCCGTTTTCGAATGGTAATAGCTGGGGAGCAAACATATTCTTCCTGCCATCGTATACGGCTGGAGGGGTAAAGATAGCCGGCGCTACGTTCTCTTGCAGATGTCTAATGAGATCCATATTAAGCCTGGCAGGAAGAACCTTCTCGGATGGTGAGATAACTATGTTCAAGAACGTCAACTCAGATATACAACCTCAGGATATGGGCCACTTACCGACTGCGATCGCCGAGGGATTGACGCGTTGTCAGTGAGACATTGACCACAACAGAATACCTGACACGAATACGCACCATCGTAGTGATATATCTTGTTTTCCGGGGTACTGATCACGAAGTTGTTCGTAAAGACTGCCAGAGGCTTTCCAGAGCTTCCGTATCCCGGTCTCTTCACGCCGACCTATATATCGTCGTAAATATCAAGCCCGGAAAATGGGAATAAAGGGAATCGATCGCACAGTTGTTATTTGTGCACCTGGCAAGGCAGATCCCATAGAGAGAGAGCTACCGACGATAGCAGGACCGCCGCTACCGTGACCACCGCCACCGCCCCCCGGCCCTCCTCTTCCACCTCGGCCGCGACCCCCACCACGAGACTGCTGCGGGCTGATTCGAGGAGGCATGTCATTTGGGAGGGGGGGCAGGAAGAAGACGTGGGGCGGG